ATTTATGCCATAGGGTAACCCATTCTCGCCTCTTTAATCGAATCCCTCCAATCTATGTCAAGACCCACCAAAGTATATTCATCATATCCACATTTTTGTGGGCCATACGTGTTCGTCACTCTCCTCTCACTCCCACCTCCCATTGCAACGCGTTTGATTCACTCTCTTACTTCACATTCCTTATTGCAAAAGTTGTATGGCTTTAAAAACCAATCTCGATTGACCACATTACCCCTAAAACCTTTAGGGGTATTTGGTTGAAGTAATATGAGATTATACAGGGAATAGAATGTCATTCTCTCGTTTGGTTGGCTGGTAATCATATTCTCTGATAATCTTTTATTCTCAATAGTAGTATTTTGAGAATATATTACTGGAAATGTGATTACCCATTCCCTTAAATATTGTTGGATTACTGACGTTTTGGATTACCGACGTTGAATAATAAAAATTCTACGAAGGTTAAATTACAAATTTATCCGTAAACTATTTTAGATTTACAAAAAATCCATAATTAAAATTTTATATAAAGTTCAGAGGTTAAAATAAAATTTTACCCTTACATTAAATCTCTTTATCTTTTCAATTTTGTAAAAAAATTATATAAATTTTATGAATTTAATTTTTTTAAATAAAATATATAAATTAATTATAGTAATATTATAGTAGAATTCAACTTGTTAAAAAAACAAATATATAATAAGGACAGTTTGGTAAACTATACATTCTAATTTTTTTTATTCCTTTAACCAAACACTGTAATCTTACATCCATCCTAAACAAACCAAACACAAAATAAAACGTTCACAATAATCTTATTCTCGTCTGTAATCCTATTTCCACTGATAATCTTACTTCCTTGAACCAAACGCATCCTTAATTTTTTTCGAGATCTAATGCACTTTAATATAAAATTTGAGAAAATATTATTTAATGAATGGGAAAATTACGGAGACCCCATTGGAAACATATGTGGAATCAACTGTACACGATCATTAACTTCCCCCGTCCCCAATATGTTGTAATAAAAAAGTAACTCTTGGACAACTACCATGACGTGTAACAGCGGCAGCTTTTTTTCTCCCGAAAATAAATAAAAAACCTAAGGACAGAATGGGAAAAGAGAAAAAAATTGAAACATATGAAGGGCCAAGAAAGCAACAGAAAGATGAGAAAACCCTGATCATCGAGTTATATGAGATCTGCAAAGCACTACCAAACCAAATCCCCCACCCCTCTTCTGTGAGAGACAAACAAAGAAAAGGCATAAATGTACATACCCTTTTGGATCTAAATATTTTTTCACTTATTTTTTATCATTCCCATCTCCCTCCAATTTGCTTTCTTTATTTACTTTCGTGTTAATGGGATTAACTTTTTAATCAATATCGATAGAGAATGAGGATTCGGAAGAATACGAAGCTGTCGTCGCTGATAAACTCGACGGGTTCGAGGGCCGAGACTGTGCACGTGTACGAGCTGAATCAGTCACCATGGGATGTGATTCCTTTCGCTCAGCAACCATACTCATCGTATCTTCATCACCAGGTACACGAAAACTTTTTGATTATCCCTTTTCTTTCAGAATAAATTGGTTCGTCCCTCATGGCAGATATACTTGCTCCTTCTTTCCTTCTTTACCCTTCGCCTCTTTTTTATGCTTCTTTGTCTGACATTTTCATCCGCACATACCCTTTACTTCTCTTTTAGGGTTTCGATAAACCCTAAATTCTCTCATTCCCATCTTATATATAGGTTAATAGGTGTTTGTCATTTCTGCGTATTATTCTTCTTGTTCGAGTTTTTAGTTAGTTGCTAGCTTCGTTTATTGCTTTGGTTTTTCTTTAAAATCCCAGTTTGAACCTGAGGATAGCTTTAATGGAAATGGGAGCTCAGGCGATTCTATTGGCGCTGTCGAGAGGTAATCCGCTTGATATTTCTTCGATCTGATTGCTTTTATTGAATTTGTTGTCGTGATATTCTATTAGGGTTATTATTATTATTATTATTATTATTATTATTATTATTATTCCTCTAGAATATATATTAGTCGAATAAATTATCCACAAATTTCATGATGAGCTGGCGAGTTATTGAAAAACCAGATTGTGTTTAATGTTTACCCAACGGGTGTTGAAAAATGTCGCGGTTTGTTACTCGAAAAACGCAGCGTGGCATCGATGATGGACAGTGCAGATAAATCGATTTTGAGAGTCGAACTCATGGTTATCGACGACGATGAGGAGACGAAAATAGGCGACCAATTCGGGTTCCAGAACCAATGCAAAGATGAAGGAAAGGGATCCAAGCATGATTGTTTGCTGAAATCTTACTGCAATGATAATGGGAATAATCCAAGCTCGTCGACCATCAAGAGAGCCGGGAACCGCCACGGATGAGCCGGGACATCCAAGAAAGGGCCATCGTCGGCGTCGAATCCGTATGAATTCTACTATTATTCCGAGTTCGGACCGTCGTGGAGAAGGAGGAGAGGCGACAGCGAAATGAGGGAGAATATTATTGTCGAGGGTAAAGATGTCGAAAACAACAGCAGTGCTGTCACCACTCAAAACAACAATACGACGCCGTCGTCGTCTTCTTCGCAACTCGATAATAATGAAGAATTTGATTATGACGATGATGAGGAGGACGACGAGGATAGTGGTGGCAAGAAACGAATGAGGAAGCCTATTAAAGCAAGATCGTTGAAGTCCCTAATGTGAAGGATTTGATAATTTCAAGTGTTTTAATTTTACTTCTAGGGTTTCATATTATCAAGTAATTTAATTTCGAGGGTTTGTTTTGTTGTTTTACATGATGTTGGGTTTCGTCGCGGGTGAGACTAGAATTTGCTCTGCCAACTTGTCAGTAGAGGAGATATTGTACGGTGTGTCTCGCGCGGAACAAAACCAGGGTATATTAGTCAATGTCTAAAAATTGAAGGCGGTTTTTGTAATTTCATTGCCTTTTTTTTTCAACGGATTGTTTAGTTGTCAACGTGGTGTTCGTTAAATTTTAACTCCAAAACGGGACCGTTGAGAAATTATATTATGTTCAAGAAAATATATTTTTTTTAAAGAAAAGAAAAAATTATTATATTTTTATATTGATCTATAGTGTTTACGAGATGTAATATATGTTTTAAATATTCTCAATCATTTAACAATAAATGTTTAACTATCCCGTAAGCATTGATACTCAAATCTGATACCTCTAAGGATAACAATCTTGCCTGATTCATCCTATTTATGGGATAAGATAATCGTTAATGCTTAGAACAATGCATCAAATAATCGTTAATGCTTAGAACAATGCATCAAATGAGAGATTACTAGGATGTATATTGGTGATAGTTTTGGAAGGTAATACTGCAATTGAACTCAAATTAGAACTAGCATTGTTTCAGTACAAGTATTAAGTGAAGTAAAACCGGTAATTACCATTGCTACTCATTTGTGAAACCAACATCATCCAAACCCCGTGCTGTGCATTGGTGATAATTGGAGCTGCTTCCTTCTTAGCAATCAGTTTCCTGGTACTGCTATGGGAAACTGGTGCAGCATTCACTGTCAAAGAAATCTTTCTTACCCTGAGAGGGTCATGATGAGACATACATAATCGAACCCATAGACCAATCTGCGAGGATTTGTATTTTGTAATGTGTAAGAGCACTTAGGCATCCGACTAATAGAATCATCTTCTTGTATATAATTAACAGGAGACCGAAATCCCCGGGCCATTTTTCATACAAGTCAAGTCAACGCTCATTAAGACGACAAGACAAGAAAATAAACGGAAAAGAGAAAGGTAGGATGAGAGTGAGTACTTGAGGTGGCAAAGATGGAGCAATTAAAACTTGGTTTCCAGCAAGGAGGATACATCACTCTCATCCCCATAGAAACGTGAGTTCCATGGTTCTGAAAGTGCTCCCAAGGCATAAACCATTTACCACCAGTGTGTATTCAGTCTTAAAAATGGAGCACAATTGAGAAGTTGCACGTGGTATTTTTACCCAAGGCAAGGACGACCATCGGGAGATTTGCAAATGCAAGCACATGACCCAGTTTTGCACCTGCCTTGGAGGCTGCTTGCTTCCGCTCCGGTTTTTTTGGCCCTTGAGAGATGAGAATGGGCGTGTTCGTTCCTTAGACGTCTTTGGATGACGTAAAGGAGGTTCTCGGTTTTCTTTATATTATTTCCTTCTTGTTGTGTCTCTTTCCCTTTTGACGGCGGCGAATGGTTCCGGGTGGTCTGACCCTCTTCGACAGCTCCCTCACCACCCGATGTGCTCGGTTTTGAGCTTTGGAGATCTCAGTTTCGACAACCCGATGATCAGGACCCCCAACTTCAAATACGGAAACTTAATGCGATTATGAGAGATAGTGGATGAAGCGACTAGTGAAATCAACGCTTCACGTATATCTAACTCCAACAATATAGCTTGTTGGGCCAAACTCCTAGACTTATTGAACCTGTTATTTGGAGCTCAAATACCAAATACAAATCCACCTTTTACTGACTCAGAGTCAAAAATTAAAATATTTAAACCTTTATGAAATTCAAGTTTAAATATTTTTTTAGAAATATGTACATAACTTTTTAAAAAATTTATCAAATAAATAAAATACTAGTGAAGCCCCTGATGTTGAATTTTCACATCCCAGAGCTTTTATTAAATGAAAGATAGTAAATGTTGAGATTTAAACCAGTATAAAATGGAACAACATTTAACCATTCACCAAATTAAAGGGAGAGAGATTATATTTATATGGCAAACTTCCTTTTTGATGTCACTGATTTTAGAGTTAACAGGACAAATTGGTGATTTAAAGCTTAGGGACAGTGACACAGGATCCAAGTTCAATATGAAAGAAAAACAAAATCAACCTTTAAATGCAGCAACCAATGTTTCTTCAATTAAGAAACTTGTTCAAAAATGGCCCCATCAAATTGTAATGTAATGTATACAATTTGTCAATTTACACTCATTACAGAAAGAAAGAAAATCTACAATCCCGGAACCGAAATGTACTCCCTATGTAAATCGGCGACCCCGGAAGCGGCCCAGAGCCGTTGATTGAACTCATCCTGCAACTCATGGGGCACGAATGGTGTTCTACAGAGCGGACAGGTTTTGTGATCATGGTCCATCCAACAGTCCAAACACGTCCGATGGAAAACGTGCCGACAGTTCCTCAACCACCTGATCTCTTCACCTCCTTCGAACTCGTACAAGCAAACTGCGCAACTCTCCGGCGGGTCCCCCACAACGAATAGCTCATCCAACTTTAAAACGGGAAGGATTTCCCGGATCAAGAGGGCCGATATGGGCGGGTTCTTGGGTCTTGTTCGGGTCAGGGCATCTTGCCAGACGGTGTCCGTTTCAAGGAAATCGGAGAGTCCGAGGTAGGTGGAAAGAGCGATAATTACGTAGCGGATGAATCCCAAAAACCAAAGTGTGTGAAGGAAGAGTTTTGGTAAGAAAACTTCGGCGTAACCAACTGGAAATCCCATGAAGACTTTAACAAAAGAAAAAAAAATAAAGAAATATAATTTTAAGGAGAAAGGTTTTGTTAATGTAATTATAAAGATAGTCTGAGTTGAAAGAAAAATGAAGGTGGAGGAGGAGAAGAAGAAGCTTCTGCTTTCAGTTATAATGGTTGGTATGGAAATATATATACTAGTTTCTAAACTCAGTCTCCAGCTGTGACATAGATGGATAGTTGTTATTGGAGGGTGATGTGATGGGTACGGGTGAAAATACAATTAGTAAATGGAAATTGAGGGAAGTGCGGCCAAAGTCACTAATCAGCAATCATCACTAGCAAATTCAGCATCCAATTAAATTAAAAATAAATTATTTGTAAGTTTTAGTAATAAGAAATAAGAATTTAGGATAAAGTATATAAATGATCATTTAATTTAATTATTGAATGTTATTTTATTGAGTCTTTCATCATAAAAAGTTATAAAATAAACTTCAATTATAGAGTATTATTTTGTTAATTCATTCAACAACTAAATTTATAAAATTATCATCTAATTATTTATATATTTCAAACTCATATTTTTTGTTAAAAATTAATGGTCGTCTGAGTTTGATGATAACTTGTTGAATGAGATATGATAAAATATCATCTTATAATTGTTTGAGTTATATTTTATAGATTAATTATCCGTTTATATTATGTCGACGAGTCATTGCTGGAAAGTAATAACAATGTTAATAGACATCACTAAAATATGATTTTATCATATCTTAGTCAATAAATTAATGTCAAACTCAAACTATTATCAATTTTTAACAGAAAATTATGAATTTATAATATATGAATAATCGAGTCATCATTTTATAATTTTTAATAATTGATTAACTCAATAAAATAACACTATATAATATAAATAAAAAAATTATTTTATAATTTTTAATAATCAGATGATTCAATAAAGTAACTCCCGAGATATTATTTGTAAACTTTACCCTAGAATTTATTTGTTATATGAGATTGGTTTATTCGAGAAGGGGCCTGTCCATTGAAGCCTTCGAGGGTATGACCGGCAATGCATAGGAAAGAAGGAGACATAAAGGAAAACAACATGGTGGGTGGGTGGCAGGACGCAAACCAACATGATATCATGATTGGTATTCTCGAAAGGGTGAGGCTTGAGACCCAAATCTGGTTGCACATGCCCAACTTTTGGATGTACCTCGCTACATCCATGGCCCAACTGTCTCTCAAGTTATTTTCACACATATCTCCTCTTCTCCTCTCATAAAGAATTAGAGCTTTAAGCGTAACATGTTTGATTTATGTTTTGGTCACCTATCTTACAAACGACAATAAGCATATGCATTGTCAGATTTCATGCCTGCTCGCCCACCTCCATTATTATCTTATCTTTTTCACCTTCCACTTGCTTTTTGACTCCTCATTTGGATTTCTCCCAATTGCAAACCCCACTCTACGTGGTTCCCATCCACTCTCCTCTACCTTTCTTCCGTTTTATTCATCTCATTTCCTTTTTCTAACTCTATATGGCAAAAAATAATTGGATCAACCGATACATGTCGTTTTATTTATTGCTTCTTGTTCGTAGTTTTTAGATTCTCACAATTCAGCCTATTCATCAGAGCCAGAGGAAAACATGTGATGGGTATTTGACAAAGCGTAGAAGATGAGATGATTAATTACTCTAAGCCCTCACAATTCAAAGGTGAAAAAGAACCAGTAAGATCCATCAGTTTTAATGTAGGATCTCATACTCTGTGTAGCTAGAAAACATCAAACATGACTGACCATTCATGTACTCTAAAGAAACACACAATTTTAGAAGAAGAATGAAAACTACAACAGCCAGGGATCGTTTCCCCAGGACAAAACCATTCTCACACTGCACACTTCTAGTTAATCACCAGCTGAAACTGATTGACTCGAAATGCAGATTATCCACCAGACTGGACAAACAGACTGCCGTGACGTCGTGCCTCAATTTTGCCGGACCGCTGGCAAGGACCCCAATACTATCTCCTTTACATTTGTTAACCAATAAAACAAATATTAGCCAAGTTGTTAAAATGGTTATAACTGCATAGGTGAGCTGGCATAACAAATAGATTCTTCTAGTATAGAGGTTGTAAAAATGATAAACACAGGCTTGTGAAAGGAAAAATATAGAACATTTTGTAAATGATTAACAGAAAAGTTTTTACAGTAAATCTAACATGGTATAAGAGCGTCTTGGGGTCTGTGGGTATCTACCTTCCTTAGTTTTTTTTTCTTACTTTGTTCTGCTGGTGGTGAGATGGGTGATAAAGACGTATCATCGGCGACGCTGCAAAAGATCTTCACCAACAAACGACTCAGTGTCGTCTTGGATGAACACAACTTTCTCTTATGAAACAACAAGTGCTTCTGGTGGTTCGTAGTCATCGCCTGGAAAAACTTCTCACTGGTGCAGTCACTCCTCCTCCGGCAACGGTGGTTCTGGGAAATGGTACGGTTGGTGAAAATGAAGAATATGAAATATTTGTTGCACAAGACAGTGCACTTGCTTCATGGCTTCTGTCCACTATAAGCCCGTCGATCCTTCCCCACTTGGTTGGAGCTGATACGGCTGCGCAGGTATGGGCTACGGTCACTAAGTATTTTGCCAGCAAGTCGACAACGACGATAATGAATCTTCATTATCGTTTGAAAGCAGTTCGTAAAGGTGAAATGAGCATGCGAACGTTCATATCTCAGGTCAAGGAGCTTTGTGATGCTCTTGCCGCGTGTGGTTCTCCGGTGACCGAGTATGAGCAAGTGACGACCATTTTGAACGGTCTTCCATCGGAGTATCGACCGTTTATTGCTGTTATCACTACTAGCAGAGAACCTTTCACGTTGGATGGTGTTACGTCTGTGTTGCTTGATGCAGAATTACAACAGAAGGGTTTTGAGGAGGCTGATAGCTTGACGATCAGCACAAATCTTGCGAACCTTCAGGTTTTTGACGTGCCGATGAATGGGGTTGTTCCTTCAACTGGATCGTCTCCTAGTTTTTCTGCTTATCGCCAGGGTGGTCGAGGTCGTGGTAAGCCTTGGATTCAATGTCAACTTTGTGGGAAAATTGGTCACTTAGTGAACCGTTGCTGGTATAGGTTCGACCAAAATTTTCAAGGGGTCTCTGCGGGGCGTTCTTCTTCGACTGTCAATCCAGCTGCTCATTCTTGTGTTTTTTCCTCATCACCTGCGTGTGGCTGTCAAGGAGTGTGGGATGCCAATACTACAGTAGCTGCGGCTGAATGTGCTCCTAAGTCCAATATGGGTAGTTGTGGTGTTGCTCGATCATCTGGGAAATGGATTGTCGATTCAGGTGCCACCCATCATGTGACGTCGTTTGCAGATAATGTCGTTGGTCGAGAAGAGTATATCGGACATGGTAAGCTTGTGGTTGGTAATGGTAACGACTTATCTATTTCCAGCATTGGTCATTCTTGTTTATATGGCAGTGATCGTTCTTTAACGTTAAATAATTTACTTCATGTTCCTCATATATCGAAGAACTTAGTATCGGTTTCTAAGCTTGCCAAAGATAACCGCATATTTCTTGAATTTCATGCTCATAGATGTGTAGTTCGGGATGAAGCTACAAGAGCGGTGCTACTTGAAGGATGTGAGAAAGATGGTCTCTATGAGTTTGACTCTATCTTACTAAGGAATAATGATCATGCCGAGTGTAATGTAGCTCGTGGGGTTGTTGATTTTCGCTTATGGCACAACCGATTAGGACATCCTTCTCGGGATACATTACTCAAAGTGTGTAGAGAATGTAATGTTGATACAACTTTGGTTAATGATGAATTTGTTTGCGTTGCTTGTCACTCTGGCAAAAGTCATTCTCTACCTTTTTCTCCATATGTTAATACTTATACCGAGCCATTTCACTTAATATTTGTGGATCTATGGGGTCCTCCTCACGTTGTGTCCAATGGATATCGATACTATATGTCGTGTGTTGATGCATGTACCAGGTATAATTGGGTTTATCTGTTAAAAGAGAAGTCTCAAGCTTTGTATGCCTTCAAACTGTTCCAACGATTAATTCGTGTACAGTTTAATAAGGAAATAAAGGAAGTTCAGAGTGATTGGGGTGGAGAGTTCCGTCCTTTCACTAAAGCTCTTCAAGAACTCGGGATACGTCATCGACTCACTTGCCCTCACACGTCTCAACAAAATGGAATTGTTGAGCGTAAACATCGTCACATTGTTGAAATGGCTCTTACGCTTCTTGCTCAGGCCTCATTACCACTAAAGTATTGGTCATATGATGTTGTTACAGCAGTTTATTTGATCAACAGATTGCCTACAAAAGTTCTACACGGCTCGACTCCGTTCAGCAAGTTATTTGGTAAAAATATGAGTTATGAACACCTACGTGTCTTTGGATGTCGTTGTTTCCCATATCTTCGGCCGTTTCAGTCACACAAGCTTGCTTTCCGGTCACAGGCTTGCACTTTTTTGGGTTATAGCGTGCAACACGAGGGTTATTTATGCATGGCACCGGATGGACGAATATTTATTTATCGACACGTAAAGTTTGACGAGGGCACTTTTCCTTTTGCAGGACAGGTTATAGAGTCGATTCCTGCTTCCACTACGATGTCCTTGATGCCATACACCAAGATTGTTCAGGTTCCAGGCACTCAACAACTAAATCGTGTTCTTGCTCCAGCTACGTTGCACGACAATCCTGGTTCTGGTTCAAGTGGAACTTCGGTATCTTCTCTCCCGGTTGCAAATGCATATGATAACATGGGACAAGCGAATATGATGCCCACAAATTCAGTTGTTCAAACTCACTCGTCTGATGACTTACAAATAATACATGTGATTGAAAATTCAGAAGCTAGTTCTAGTAATTCACTTCAAGGGTCATCAACTTTTGTTCCACCTGAAGCTGCTGCTACGGGTACAGTATATGGACCTCTTCCTTCCATGTCCAATATCCATCCTATGGTTACCAGGAGTAAAGTTGGCGCTTTTAAACCGAAAGCTTTCTTTGTAAATTCTATGATTGATGGCGATGAACCAGTGTCAATTCAACA